GATGATTCTGATTCTGACACATCCACTAGATCTATAAGAAGTGCATATAATACTTTTTCCATAATGAGTGGTAGAAGAAGGCAATGCCAATCATCCCTTCCAACCCAATCAAGACAATCCAGACAATCCAGACAATCTAGACAATCCGCCCAACAAACTTCTTCTAGGCAACCATCACCTTCCAGACAATCTGTCCAGCAAACTTATTCTAGGCAATCATCACCTTCTCAATCTACCTCATATCATGCATCACGATTATTATTGCCGCAGCCGCAGCAAACACGTGGAAGATCAGCATTGCCTGATCATTGATCTTCTAATCAAAATCAGTCACATAATCATGACAATAATCGAGATGATATAAAAAGGTTTTTTTTTTTTTGATTTTTGAATGCCGATCTTCTGATCTAATTTTTTTTTTTTTTTTTGAAACTTTTTTTTTTTTTTTTTGTTACCTTTGATACCTGTTACCTTATTTGACTTGTTCAAGTCACCGTCTCCATGAAGCTGAGGACCGAGAATGTCTCTTCACTCAGAACCGTCAAATATACCTCCTGATCAGACAGTTAAGCGACGATTTTCAAGATCTTAGGAATGAAATATGGCAAAGAAACATTCAAGACACTCAAGGCATTCAAGGTGAGGATTTTTCGGCCAAAGTGTAAAACGTAAGTATTGTAGAAAGCAAGAGTAATTTAGGACATATTTTGAGCGCTTTTTTTTTAGCATATTTTGAGCGCTTTTTTTTTTACATTTTCGCAGGAAGTATATATTAGCGTTGTCAAACACCTTTTCCCGCGTGTAATATATCCCACCCAAGATGAAATAAAAGAGTCCCTCAAGGACTACTTGAACGAAAAGTTCCCTGAATTCGTGGCGAACTTAAGTGCTAACGATTTTGCAAACCGGTTCCATGGTGTGTGGTGTTCTCAGGTAAGCAATAATATTTGACACCTGTGTATATCGTTTTATATCATTATCAATCATTTTCAATAGGTCTAAGCATTTTTTATGGTGCTCAATCTCCAATAGCTCTTACAAAAAATGAAGAACCTGTGTGGTTCAGCGTTGCAGAACGTACGTTCGGCAATTTGGAGTGTATTTGGCCGCGAAAGGCTTCCTCGCCTCAGAAGC